AAGGTCAATCGAATGGAAACATGTACGAACTGCTTCAACTTAGCGAAGAATACGAGGCGAGTTTTTTCGACCGTATTACCACTGTAGATGAAACGCGGCTTTCCTTCTTCAATCCCGAGACCAAATCCCAATCTAAGGAGTGGCGCGGACCCGATGAAGGACCTCCTTTGAAGGCTCGAACTGTTCCCCCTTTGGGAAGGTCATGATTACGGTTTTCTGGGATTTTAAGTGGATTATAGCTACCGACTACCAACCAAAAGGTACCACAATGAATGCAAAACATTATTATATTCTATTTTTGGTCCCTCTCCAAAAGGCTTTTATTGGAAAAAGCCCTGGGAAGTTGCTTTCACAGTCACTTCTTCAGCAGGACAATGGAAGGCCCTACACCGCGCGCTAACTACACTCTTAGAAAAAGGGGAGCGACTTTTCTCAAAAAGGAGAGCAAAATCGCTAACTGCAGTTTCACTCCCTTTTCACTCTGGAAAAGCAGCGAATTTGCTCCATCACCAACGAATAAAATTGCTCTCCTCCTCCGTGAGTAAAATCGCTCCCTTCGAAAGAGATAGGGATGTCATTCAAATGCGCAAATTCTCGTATATACTTTATGTCGCTTTCTCTCTCGTACAGTATAGGCATTAACCTACATCTGACTGTGTTGATTACAGCATACATAGGAGGGTGGAGCACCTCTTATGGTAGCATTAAGTGTCCATGATATCAGTCTTTCATTACCTCACGAAGTTGAGGTGTGGTTAAATGAAGTTCACAGATACTCTCTTTGTATTCTACAGGGTGACCAGAAAGTCCTGTCCATCAGCATTTTTGCAGCAGCTCTTTTAATATTTACCCCTGAACAACAAGTTAGCAACTGAAGGAGCACAATAGTCTTAGCAACATAACAAAANGATGCGTTCCTGGTAGAATTTGGCATCGATTTTGGCTCCTTTCTCGACGAAGACGAGAGGCGTCTTTCCACTTGCGGTGACTCCACCCCATACCATCACAGAAGCTGGGAACTTCTGTCGTGTGACAAAAGCTGCTTCTGGACGCTCCTTCGAGTTCTTTGGCAACAGAATCCGGTCATTTTGAACATTGAACATTTGTTCTAGGGTAAATACCTTTTCGTCTGTGAAGACATGACGATGTCGAAGAGCACCGGTCAGCCGCTTCAGCTTCTTCACTTTTGCAAATCGATTGTTCATCATGGCTTCCGTTGAGTGATGACACTTTCGCAGCTTGTAAGGGTGATATCCAAGAACCTTCCTGCACAGAATTCTGGCGGATTCTCGCTTCAAACCGGTTCTGCGGGCCAATTCCCGCATAGACTGCCTTGGTTTTCGCTGAATTCTTTTTTTTACCTTCCTCTGGTTTTCAGGAGTGTTGGCGGTTCGCGGCCTTCCACTTCTTGGACGGTCTCCTTCATGCCCCAACTCCTCGTAACGGTTAATTTTCAGGAGTGTTGGCGGTTCGCGGCCTTCCACTTCTTGGACGGTCTCCTTCATCCCCCAACTCCTCCTAACGGTTAATGGCCCGGATCACGGTTCTTCTGCACGCACCAAGTGTCTTTGCGATATTGCTTGCACTCATTTTTGTCTCGTGCAAACGGATGATGGCAGTACGCGTTTTCTTATCCATAAAAAAATACAAAAGAGTGACCCTATGGAAATGAAACTTTTCACACACATAGACAATAATGTTAAGGAGCAAAACTGCATGAAAAGATTGCTAGAGCTTTTGTATTTATATAGTTAAAAGTATGGGACAAAAGTGGACAGGACTTTCTGGTCACCCTGTAGATCTATGCAGATGAAACCTTATGCGTTCCCAATGGGTTCTCAATAGGAATATGAAATTGTTTATGGTCTGGACTCTATGAATATGTCTTGAATATGTGGACAACAAATGATGAAATGTCCGTGTTTATTGATTCCTATAATGAGACTAGGCGTGACATACTACTGTATATGTCGAGGTACTAAACAATCCTGCGAGGGACGATTCCAGGGAAAGAGGGAAGGGAACTTTTGTGCACCGTGCGAAAAGCGAGACCCTTACCTCCATATATTGGCCTGGCGAAGAACTTTAAGGTATTCACTTCAATACGAGCGATGAGGGAGCATTTGGTGCGTAATAAGAGAGGGAAAATTTGAAAAACTCACGGTAAGTTCACATTTTACTCTCTAAACGCTCGGAATTTTCTGAGTGTAGAGCAACCTTAGCTGAACTGAGGTGGGAATTGCTCCCGCATCCGCCCTTCTCTCAAGATCTGGCTCCCAGTGAGTACTGCCTCTTCGGCGAGATGAAGAAGCCACTGCGAGGAGTGCGCTTTCATTCCCTCAATGCAATCAAAGCTGAACTAGCGAACAGGCGGATCAGAAACCCTTCAGACATTTTTTTCATGAGGGTCCAAGGAAACTGATTCCACGCTGGAGGAAGTGCGTCGAATTAAGGGGGAATTTTGTTGAAAAGTCACTCACAGTATAATGGTGTTGAATAAAGAAGTTACCAAAAAATAATGAAGAAATTCTCATAAATTTCTAAATGTCACTCGTGACTCCAGAGCTAAAAAAGGCAAACACGTAAAAAAAAATAAAAGGGCTTCGACAGCACACACTCTAGTTCAAAAACGAATCCATGCAATTGAAACTTCAAGTTTTTCAAAAGTACTGTTTTGGGCCAAATTCAAATCATCATTCCCGTTGGGTAAATCTTTCCGCTTTGCCGCATCGTAGTAACACAAGTTACACAAGTAACATCGTTTCCGATGTTACTTGTTCGCACAGTCTCGTAATTATCTATTACAGTTGTCGTCTTCTCCATATATTTGAACATTATGATTGCGGGAGTCTCCTTAACAACAGGTAGCAGGCGATGTGCAGAGAGGGGAATCTTATTTGAGTTGGTGGACTTCAGCTGAGGTAATTCAAATAGATTTCATGCAGTTTTCGCTCAAAACGTTATTGGAGCATATCAATCGTTCCCGATTCCTTTGTTTCGAGATTGCATTATTACCGCATTATTTGACCTCATGCTATCGTAAGTCGAGCAGGAAAAGCATAAAAATGTATCACGGCCTTCCTTCGTTCTCAAGGTGAAACCCAGATCCAAATGATCCTGATGGATTATGGGGGTATGATGTTCTACAAGGGAACCGAATTTGTTGCGTCCCAGTGCATTCTTTTCAATTCTTACTTGTTGGAAAACCAGAACACGAATACAACACTATGCATTGTAGCAGTCTGAAAGACACAAAACTCAAAACTTTGAAGACTTTAAAGTTAGCTCGAAGTTCGCCTACTACAGTTAAAATGTGACGGCGTCTTCAAATTATTGAGTGCCAGCGCGAAAACGCAACAATTCTAAGATACGCCTTATTTTTCTCTGCATCTGGTACACCATGTCTGTACCTTTTTTTAAAGTACACTTCGGAACACTTAAATACAGGTATAAGACATTAGAAGTCCTTGTTCCGCTGCGGTTCCCAACCGCTCCCGTCGGACGTGATCCGAGTCGATGACGAATAGCGTTTTCTGTCAATATTCCATTTCTTCCCTTTCTCGCGTCCCTCTAGGTGGAGCCCCAAAGCGTTCTTCGACGTGGTAAACACTCGATGCAAAACCCCAAGCATGACAGCATGATACGTCCGTGTTTGCACCGCATGGCACTTCTTTCGCGCTGATGAATCTTCCATTTTAATGAGGACATCTGAGCGCCTCCGGATATTTAACTTGTATTTGAGCAGGAAAAATGAATTTGATGTCCAATTGATCTTTTTCCGTCCACGACATGGCTTTCCATGGGGAGGGAAGAAAGCGATAAGCCGTTATCAGCAGAACTGTTGTGTGGAAATGGATTCTTTCTGAAAAAAGATAAGAAATTACTGAGGATACGAAATCTACGCAGAATCGCGCAGGTCTAATGTCTAAGCGCAAGTGCGTTCTTCCATCGTTTACCCTACCATGAGGATCCTGTCCTGGATCCTTTTCTTTCAACTACTGTGCGACACCCTCGCATTAGGGAGGAGAAGCATGCGCAGTCTTGCATGAAGAACTTTTTGTGAGGAATGTGGACTTTTTTCGTATGAAGATCGCTTGCACGCGGTAAACGGTGAATCTATGTCAGGGATCGCTCCTATTCTTTCGGCAGCTTCTTCTAGAATATGAGATTTTGCTTCTTCTGTATCCTTCATGTGACATTCTTCTATTTTTTTTCTGTGGTGCTTTTGTGAAGGAATGGCGAGATTCTGGATCGTGCCAAATATTTTCTACGAGACTTTGCGTGCTACTCGGATTCGTTTGATTAGTTGTATTTCGATTTATAATTAAAGGAACATAAGCGAGTAGGTGCCAGTCCCATATATTGGAAAATGCATATAGTAAGAGATGAAAAGGAAGGGCCAAAAAACGGGCATTTTTGAGAGGCAAAAAATTGTCTGCATGCATACATTTCCTAATAATAGATATCAAGGTGGGTTTCTCATTTGTTCTATAGATAATTTCCAAGGCTTCTACGTCTGCGAGACCCTCCTACAAGCCGACACCGAATCATGATGGCGTCGGAAGAGTCACGTGACAATGAAAGGATGAAGACAAAGTGACTTATTGTATAAAGTGTAATATTCGTAGTGCATGCAAGACCGTCAGGGAGAGACGAAGAAGGAAGACACTGGATCCTCCCGGTCCTCTGACCGTGAAACACTGAAACTCTCAACTGCGCGCTTCCATGCGCGTTTCGTGATGGACGTCGGACGATGATCTTATCAAAGTGAAAACCTAGGGAGAGGTTTTCCCGAATTTCATATAACCAAGTCGTCGACTGTGCTCTTGAAGGTTGAATTTGGTCGAATGAGTGGAGATGGAAGGGGAAAATGACCCCCTCGAGAAGTTGCTAGAAGAATGTGTCGAAGTTGCAGGGCAAAAACCTCGGACCTACATCCTTCCATTTCGGCATATCACGAGCCAGCGACACCAATTGGGTGAAGGCCAACATGACGTTCAATGTCTGGTTGTCCTACTACTTGGCCTTATTGGAGCAGGTTAGATCTCATGCTATCCAAAATAACTCCTCGTGTGAAAGGTCAGACTTCCCTCGATCTTACTCTCACTTTTTCTGTTACAGGGAAGTCAAAGCTGGTGGACGTGTTGGGAAATTATGGAATGGGAGTGAGTTTCCGGGATCCCTATCGATTCCAGGTGAAGGAAGATGGACCCACTGAAAAGATCACCTCGCACACCTTCTTCACCAGGGACGAGCGAAGGTTCCCCCGACCGGTAACCCTCATTGATACACCGGGCTTACAGAAGGGGAACCCCAAAGACGACAAGAAGTTGATGGAAGACATTCGTGCTTTCATCCAGCACCATCACCAGCAGGGCATCCACGCCGTCATATACGTCGCTCCAAACTCTCAGGTACCTCTTTATAGCCCTCACTCCTTAATGAGAGATGATCATTAATATCACTAACTTCTATATTTTGAACTCAGCATTAGCCACTTCAAATTCGACCCGCCGCACCGAAGCAGCGATACAGAAACGTTTCTCGTCACATGCTTTGAAATCCCAAGGAGCAGTGTACAGCAGGGTGAAGAGCTCGTTCATTATGGGGTGATCTTGAGTCTTAGTGGCATGCGGGTGATTCTGGAAACAGTCCATATTTTCTTAACATTTTTTCTCTAGTAGTTGAGATACATTTAATTACTCCAATGACGTCGCTGGACGGAATCGGACTCGTCATCTTGGGATATTTGATAATTTTTTTTGCCTTCGTATTGTGTGATCTTCAAGTTTTCGTATTGTCTGTTAAAAGTATTATGATCATTATTCATCCATCAGTATCATTATTTTGAGTAATAAGGTTGACTTCCAATTTAACAACTGGTTTTCAAGATTTTTTGGCCCAGGAAATACTGCACCGTGACATAGGCTACTGAACGCAATGTTTCGCTCTTGCAGCTCAACCACCAAAACATTACGTTTAATAATGAAACATTTCCACCTTCAAATTCTGAAACTGAAATATCATACACTGAATAATAATTTTCGGATATAGGCCTACGGCGTATTCTTTCGACACCAATGATTGACGCGATGTAAGCTCTGAATGTGCGCGTGCGTGTAGTGGTAAAAAAAGGTGAAATTTTGACATATTATGCACGAAGTTCACCCGACTTCTTGTCACTTTGTATTTTTTCTCTTGATAAATTTAATCTGTCGCCCTCCGTGAACATGGGGATATTCATCCGATTATGTATTCATCTCTGTGAACAGGGAAGATTGACAGCGGAGCAGAAGATCGTGCTGGGGAACATGGCCAATATATTGGGTGATAAAACAGAGAAAATTTCGTATTTATTCTGCACATTCGCGGACGGCAAAAGCCTCCCCGTCCTAAAATCTGTGAAAGAGGCCGGACTCAAATACCAGAAGCATTTCGCCGTCAACAGCTCCTCCTACTTCAGTGTGGTAGAAGAAGAAGATGGATCTTCGATCGACGACGACGAAGGGAAGAGTAAAGAAGTGGGAGGGGAGTCAATGAACGAGTTGCTGTGGAAGCTGACGACAGACAGCATTGAAGACTTCGTGATGGGCATACAGAAGAATCAGCCCATTCAGACCCAGGAAATCCTATCATCGGGAGAAGAAAACGAGGAGAAAAAGAATGGGAAGTCACGAAGGTCTTCCGAAGGTGAGTCATGAAGACCCAAAACCTCTTCAGAGTGATTATTACTACTACATCTTAGACTGCTAAACCAATGCCTTTTTCGTGTGTAGAAGTAGAAAAAGTACCTCTAATCACTGGAGGGAGATTCCCCCAACCCGCTGGAGAGGACCCAGATCCCTCCATTGGACAAAGGTCATTCTGCGGCCGGATTCGCCGCTCCTTCAAAAGGTTGGTTCTCAGGTGTCTCCCAAAACCAGAAAACAAGGGAGATAACTTCCAATAGGTTAGAGGCACAACGCGGTAGATGGGCGCTATTTGTGGACACTTGCATTTTCTTCAAGAGCAAAACAATGATGGGTTTCATATCCTTGACTGCTCGATTTTAGGGTAGCACTTTTATGAGGTCAGCCTCCTTTTTGACTGCGTATGACTATTCGCGTGCGTCAACTTCCACTCCCTCGCTTCGTTTCGATGCAGCAACCCAAAAAATCATTACGTGTGTTGTGATTTCTGCTAAGGGATGTAAGCCCTTTCGAAAACCAAGTTTCATTCAGAAAAAGGCATGGACCTTGGGATGATAGTATGACGCTCCATTAGAAGTTTATAAATCATATTCAATCCATGCAGGGAATGTATAAAAAAAAACCTCAATAACGATGAAAACAGAGTCCACAAATGGTATTCCCGATTTAACACTTGCGTACTGCTCACGGAGATCGTTTTTGAGTCCTTTCGCGATTCCATTTTCTTAGCCTATGGCCAAAAAAGTTATAGCCTTTTAGGCTTCGAGCTTTAGGCTAAGGTAACAGAGGTTTGGGTCAGAGCGGCGGATCGACGGGGTAAAATGTCTGGTATGCAATATGTTAAGGTTTCCCAATTTGTATACGTTGGTGTCCAGGAACAAGAACTCTCCTTCCAGTCTGAGGGCGACTATTGAAGTATAGAGGTAGGTATTTTCGCAGCAAAAGTGAATTTGAATTTTTTAAAGATAATTGTATTGCAAATGTAAGAGACACTACATTTAAATAATTAAAATACTGCACAATATAACAAGTTAACTGCGAATATACTTGCCTCTACCCAATAAAGCATCCACGAATAGGAAAACGAAAGGTAGGGAGAATGGAATCCTTCACGTGACAGCAAAGGAGAGAGTAAAAAAAATAATGAAATTCTAAGTGAGTAAGAAGAATCGAAGCCGAAATCCTCAGGGAAGTGGGGAATCCCGGCTAAGCTAAACGAGCTTTCAGAAGAAAAAAAACCTCAGCAAACGCAGATGAGGGACAGCTTTACAAATTGCTCAAGTTTTTTCAATTCTACCGAGTGATTCTTCTTCAGTGGTGAGGATTAACTAAAATGCTGCGAAGATGCCATGCAAATAAGGGTTATTAGTCGTATGCAAATGATGATTGTTCACAAAACTGGGTCCTTGGACGTCCGCGAACAAGAACTAGGCCGTCCAAAAGATGGGAAATTGGAAAAACAATAGAAGCAAAACATGGGTTTCCATGGTCCAAAAGCCCGTAAGGTAATTTCCTGCGAGAAAATTTTCATACCACTCCAAGAACTGATGGCACTACCCTATTCGGTTTGTGAACCGAATAGGTTAACATAACGATGTTTGGAAGGTATCTCAATGAGATACCTTGCAAAGAGAGGGCGCTGTTGCTAACCTAGTGACCGAGGGTGATTGGAAAAAACGCTCCACCGTTTTTGTATTATTTCTTCATTCGAGGAAAATATATTAGATTGATGGAAACTTGATATTGGACGTATGGAAGATGTTGAGAAGAATTAGTTTTTCTCAGAACAATTCTTTGAACTTTACATAGGGCATATGAGCACGAATCATTCGTTCTCCCCTTTGAGAATAGGGGACATTTTTTATAATCACCCTCGGTCACCGGATCAACAACAGCGCCCTCTCTCGGGATAGAGCGCCATCTTGCGGAAGTGAAAAGACCGCTTAGACTCGTGAACTTTTCTGTCAAGTATCAATTGGATTCACTTGTCCTTTGAAAAGTTAAAGTTGAAAATTTCACTAAATTCTGCATACATACGTCACCTCACTTGAGGTGGGATGCTCCACCTCTAAGCACCTTTAATTCATCTCTAAATGGGCATTGCACAATTTAAGCAAGAGTGCTGAATAAAAGCTGGCAAGCATTTCAACACCTTGTAACCGTCAAATATCGATAGCGTATCCAATGTATCAGATATTTGTTTTGCTGAATTTATGAAACTGTGTTTCTCCTATAGAAAGCGGTAGAGCGTTTTTTTTTAACCACCCTATATACATTTATGAGTTACATTTATTTGTTTCTTCCGTTAATGGTTTCGCGGAAATAGTTCAGTATTGCTGGTAGGATAGGCCTGGGTGGTTACAACGAGTCGAAAAAGTTGAATTGCTTATTTTGTTTCCTTGTTGCATTACTGTGCTTTTTTTAACAGTCCATGGTGCGTGTGTGCGATGGGATGCGGTGTCGTTTCTGCAGTTCTCATCATTGCTGCTGGTCTCGCCTCGTCTCTACTCGTCAATAAATACGCTAAAACTCTCTAAAGAAAATGTTTTACGCGAATCACGATCACTACTTCAAATTTGTTTAAATAAAGGGTGAATACTTCCAGAATCACCTTGAGCCTGAATGCAGACACCCGACGGCTCCATTTATGCTTTTATTTATTTCATCCTTCAGGTCGGGAGGAAAACAAACCCACATGAAATTAATGAGGAGCGCTTAGATCATAAGAGTTGTTCAGGGAGTAATTCAGTCGGGGAATCAGAGAAACGAAACCTGTTTATCCAAATTCATAATTTTCAACTGAAAAGGAATAAAGCAATCAGTTTCCATTATACTTTATTATTGGCTGGCCCTCATGTTCCTATTCTCAATGTACGCCAATCTGCTGTTGTACGCTCTACTGTACATACGTTGGATGTAGCCCGGGCGCTGCGACGAAAGCGCCGCCATCCAGGTTGGGAGTATTATTCCATAGAAAAGCATGGGCTCCATGTTAAAGGTGGTACGAATTCATTTGCAAAACACTCTACCTTGAGTCGACGAACCATTCAACGCATTCTGCAGACCTGGCTCCTAGCGTTGCTAGGCAAAAACCACTGCTAGGCGAGGCGTCGAAAGGAATGCGCTCAGCAGGCAGACGAAGCACTTCTATATTGGAGGTGTCATTCTCTGACGAGTCTCGATACTAGCAGCTCACATATGATGGCCGAACATGGGTCTGGACGAATTCTGGAGATGCACTTAAACCCGAATTCTCCAGCCATCTGTGAAACACGGTATGTACAATAAGTGCGATGGTATGGCCAGCGATTCGATATCATGGCAAGACAGACTTGTTATTCATCAATGGAACCTTAATTCAGCTGGTACCTTGCTGGAAAGCAACATCTTGCCACTATTTCGGCAGGACATCCTTCAATTCGGGACAGGTGTCCAAGAAGGTGGTGCCACAAGCCACGCTTCGAGAGCAACCACTTCCTGGAAGAAGAACCGGGGCCATCCATAGACATCTGACATGAACACCTCAAAGCCATGACATGAATCCCATGTTGACACTGATAATCTCATGGGGTCCAAGCCAACTCCATGTGAAAGCTTCACACGATGCACATCGTGTAGAATTAATGAGTTCTTTTTTGATAAGGCTCAATTCAATAATTGTAAATAGCAACTCTTCCCTCCCCCGATTTTCAGGCGAAAGGACTCCTGGGTACTTTCTTTTGGGCATGAATTACAAGTGATTGGAAGGGGGCATACTATGATTGACCCGTGAGGGAAGGAAACAGCATGCCCTTATCAAGGCAGTCGTTCCCTAGGCAGGGATTCTTACATGAAGGGAGATAAGGAGGTGCTTAAGTGTTATCCGCAATATACTGTAGGACAGAAGTTCATCGCTTGAGTACTGGAGTGACATTCTCTTTTCTTCTTTTCCGCAGTCGGAACGATCCTCTTCTTCACTCAGGTCAGCAGCTGTCTCCATTAATTTCATTAGCATGATGCAAATGCATCCAATCAAAAAGGATAGCTCCCTTCTTGATTCTCGATGTGGACCATTATCATGGAATATCTAAAGTAAACACGGGAACTACCGGTAGCGGACGTGAAACATGTAAGTTGGTTGGTCTATCTCATGCTTCCAGCAAATGCCCCAAGGAAACATTTAAAAAATAATAGAAGAACGCATCATGTATCCTTTTGCCTCGAGAGCAATACAAGACAAGAGCAGCTAATTGCCACATATAGGCCGCTGCCACAGGAAGCTAGTACACACCAGGAAGTCCTAATCACTTGCTCATTACCTGGAGTATTTCACATTTCAATTGCTCCCATGCAACCATTCCAAGGGGTGCTTGCCTTCGACCCGTACATTTTGCAGACATCTCCTATGCGAACATCCAACTACAGTCTTTCCCTCCATAAATACCGAAGGGATAATATCAATGGTGTTAGATGGGAGGGGTTATACCCGACAAACGAGACACGATTTAATATGAGATAATGAATGTCAAAGAATACCGGCATAGCCGTTCCATATAAATTTTTTTTTCCCAGGATGAGGTTATCTCTCAGGTCTCTCTATCTCACGAGCGGTTCGGTTTATTGCAATCTCGATATACTGCGAACGCCATGGATATCTTGATGGAGGATGTAAAGCTGAAGCTCCCTGAGATAAGGTTCTGCTGTTTACGCCGCATGAGTCGGCTTTCCAAAAGCCGGTGATTCGGGATCGTCTCACCTAATTCTTCAGACTCAAATTCATCTCGTATTGGCGAACCATTACTGAATCTCATTTGAATCTCTTCCTTGAATTTCCCAAGAATCGACTACGCAAGGGGACCCAAATGGAGCAATATAGCGACGCACATGAAACGATTCTCTTTAGCATTCTTTGAACCAGAAATCTTACCCAATACGAGCTGACCCGTTGAGGCCGAAATGGGATATTTCTGGGATTGGGAGCAGGATAACTGTATTTTTTTATCTTATAGAAATCGGGAAATTAGTTATGGCAATATGGCAATTTCTGGAGTGATTTGTCATGGAATCACCCATGAACATATGCTGTGGTCCTTCATCTAAATTCATATTTTACACACATCAAGCAACTTGAATGGGAAGTGTCAAACGGACTTGTTACGTATAACTGTGCAAAATGCAAGTACTGGCATTAGAGGCCGATCTTAGTTTTTAAAAAATGCCGGTTGCCTTGCATGTCCATTGTAATCAAACAGCACAACTGCTAGCAATGTCAAACAAGTTT